TTACGTGTCCAAGGCCCCCCTATACACAACACGGTGTTTACGTGTCCATAGCCTTCCTAAACAAAACACAGTGTTTACGTGTCCAAGGCCTTCCTTAACACAACACAGTGTTTACGTGTCCAAGGCCCTCCTAAACACAACACAGTGTTTACGTGTCCAAGGCCTTCCTTAACACAACACAGTGTTTACGTGTCCATAGCCTTCCTAAACACAACACAGTGTTTACGTGTCCAAGGCCTTCCTTACCACAACACAGTGTTTACGTGTCCAAGGCCTTCCTAAACAAAACACAGTGTTTACGTGTCCTAGGCCTTCCTTAACACAACACAGTGTTTACGTGTCCAAGGCCTTCCTAAACATAACACAGTGTTTACGTGTCCATAGCCTTCCTAAACACAACACAGAGTTTACGTGTCCAAGGCCCTCCTACAAACAACACAGTGTTACGTGTCCATGGCCTTCCTAAACACAACACAGTGTTACGTGTCCATGGCTCTCCTACAAACAACACAGTGTTACGTGTCCAAGGCCTTCCTAAACACAACACAGAATTTACGTGTCCAAGGCCTTCCTTAACACAACACAGAATTTACGTGTCCAAGGCCTTCCTAAACGCAACACAGAATTTACGTGTCCAAGGCCTTCCTAAACACAACACAGTGTTACGTGTCCAAGGCCTTCCTAAACACAACACAGTGTTTACGTGTCCAAGGCCTTCCTAAACGCAACACAGTGTTTACGTGTCCAAGGCCTTCCTAAACGCAACACAGTGTTACGTGTCCATGGCCTTCCTAAACACCACACAGAATTTACGTGTCCAAGGCCTTCCTAAACACCACACAGAATTTACGTGTCCAAGGCCTTCCTAAACGCAACACAGTATTTACGTGTCCATAGCCTTCCTAAACACAACACAGTGTTACGTGTCCATGGCCTTCCCAAACACAATACATCGTATATTCGGTTCTCTTTATCACGGAATAGTGTCCTCTACCTTCCACAAAGCAATGGAGTGTACACATGTCCCCGACCTTCCACAAAGCAATGGAGTGTACACATGTCCCCGACCTTCCACAAAGCAATGGAGTGTACACATGTCCCCGACCTTCCACAAAGCAAGGGAGTGTACACATGTCCCCGACCTTCCACAAAGCAATGGAGTGTACACATGTCCCCGACCTTCCACAAAGCAATGGAGTGTACAGTGTACACATGTCCCCGACCTTCCACAAAGCAATGGAGTGTACACATGTCCCCGACCTTCCACAAAGCAAGGGAGGAGTGTACAGTGTACACATGTCCCCGACCTTCCACAAAGCAATGGAGTGTACACATGTCCCCGACCTTCCACAAAGCAATGGAGTGTACACATGTCCCCGACCTTCCACAAAGCAAGGGAGTGTACACATGTCCCCGACCTTCCACAAAGCAATGGAGTGTACACATGTCCCCGACCTTCCACAAAGCAATGGAGTGTACACATGTCCCCGACCTTCCACAAAGCAATGGAGTGTACACATGTCCCCGACCTTCCACAAAGCAAGGGAGTGTACACATGTCCCCGACCTTCCACAAAGCAAGGGAGTGTACACATGTCCCCGACCTTCCACAAAGCAAGGGAGTGTACACATGTCCCCGACCTTCCACAAAGCAATGGAGTGTACACATGTCCCCGACCTTCCACAAAGCAATGGAGTGTACACATGTCCCCGACCTTCCACAAAGCAATGGAGTGTACACATGTCCCCGACCTTCCACAAAGCAAGGGAGTGTACACATGTCCCCGACCTTCCACAAAGCAATGGAGTGTACACATGTCCCCGACCTTCCACAAAGCAATGGAGTGTACACATGTCCCCGACCTTCCACAAAGCAAGGGAGTGTACACATGTCCCCGACCTTCCACAAAGCAAGGGAGTGTACACATGTCCCCGACCTTCCACAAAGCAAGGGAGTGTACACATGTCCCCGACCTTCCACAAAGCAATGGAGTGTACACATGTCCCCGACCTTTGTACACAACCTTCCACAAAGCAATGGAGTGTACACATGTCCCCGACCTTCCACAAAGCAATGGAGTGTACACATGTCCCCGACCTTCCACAAAGCAATGGAGTGTACACATGTCCCCGACCTTCCACAAAGCAATGGAGTGTACACATGTCCCCGACCTTCCACAAAGCAATGGAGTGTACACATGTCCCCGACCTTCCACAAAGCAAGGGAGTGTACACATGTCCCCGACCTTCCACAAAGCAATGGAGTGTACACATGTCCCCGACCTTCCACAAAGCAATGGAGTGTACACATGTCCCCGACCTTCCACAAAGCAATGGAGTGTACACATGTCCCCGACCTTCCACAAAGCAATGGAGTGTACACATGTCCCCGACCTTCCACAAAGCAATGGAGTGTACACATGTCCCCGACCTTCCACAAAGCAATGGAGTGTACACATGTCCCCGACCTTCCACAAAGCAATGGAGTGTACACATGTCCCCGACCTTCCACAAAGCAATGGAGTGTACACATGTCCCCGACCTTCCACAAAGCAATGGAGTGTACACATGTCCCCGACCTTCCACAAAGCAATGGAGTGTACACATGTCCCCGACCTTCCACAAAGCAAGGGAGTGTACACATGTCCCCGACCTTCCACAAAGCAATGGAGTGTACACATGTCCCCGACCTTCCACAAAGCAAGGGAGTGTACACATGTCCCCGACCTTGTACACAACCTTCCACAAAGCAATGGAGTGTACACATGTCCCCGACCTTCCACAAAGCAAGGGAGTGTACACATGTCCCCGACCTTCCACAAAGCAAGGGAGTGTACACATGTCCCCGACCTTCCACAAAGCAATGGAGTGTACACATGTCCCCGACCTTCCACAAAGCAATGGAGTGTACACATGTCCCCGACCTTCCACAAAGCAAGGGAGTGTACACATGTCCCCGACCTTCCACAAAGCAATGGAGTGTACACATGTCCCCGACCTTCCACAAAGCAAGGGAGTGTACACATGTCCCCGACCTTCCACAAAGCAATGGAGTGTACACATGTCCCCGACCTTCCACAAAGCAATGGAGTGTACACATGTCCCCGACCTTCCACAAAGCAAGGGAGTGTACACATGTCCCCGACCTTCCACAAAGCAATGGAGTGTACACATGTCCCCGACCTTCCACAAAGCAATGGAGTGTACACATGACCTTCCACAAAGCAATGGAGTGTACACATGTCCCCGACCTTCCCCAATGCAACTGTGTGTACTCATGTCCGTACCTTCCACAAAGCAATGGAGTGTACACATGTCCCCGACCTTCCACAAAGCAATGGAGTGTACACATGTCCCCGACCTTCCACAAAGCAAGGGAGTGTACACATGTCCCCGACCTTCCACAAAGCAAGGGAGTGTACACATGTCCCCGACCTTCAATAAAGCAAGGGAGTGTACACATGTCCCCGACCTTCCACAAAGCAAGGGAGTGTACACATGTCCCCGACCTTCCACAAAGCAAGGGAGTGTACACATGTCCCCGACCTTCAATAAAGCAAGGGAGTGTACACATGTCCCCGACCTTCCACAAAGCAAGGGAGTGTACACATGTCCCCGACCTTCCACAAAGCAATGGAGTGTACACATGTCCCCGACCTTCCACAAAGCAATGGAGTGTACACATGTCCCCGACCTTCCACAAAGCAAGGGAGTGTACACATGTCCCCGACCTTCCACAAAGCAAGGGAGTGTACACATGTCCCCGACCTTCAATATAGCAAGGGAGTGTACACATGTCCCCGACCTTCAATATAGCAAGGGAGTGTACACATGTCCTCGACCTTCCACAAAGCAAGGGAGTGTACACATGTCCCCGACCTTCAATATAGCAAGGGAGTGTACACATGTCCCCGACCTTCAATAAAGCGATGGAGTGTACAGATGTCACCGACCTTCCACAAAGCAATGGAGTGTACACATGTCCCCGACCTTCCACAAAGCAAGGGAATGTACACATGTCCCCGACCCTCCACAAAGCAATGGAGTGTACACATGTCCCCGACCTTCAATAAAGCAATTGAGTGTACACATGTCCCCGACCTTCCACAAAATAAGGGAGTGCACACTTGTCCCCGACATTCCACAAAGCGATGGAGTGTACACATGTCCCCGACCTTCAACAAAGCAAGGGAATGTACACATGTCCCCGACCTTCCACAAAGCAAGGGAGTGCACACTTGTCCCCGACCTTCAATAACGCAAGGGAGTGCATATATGTCCCCGACCTTCCACAAAGCAATGGAGTGTACACATGTCCCCGACCTTCCACAAAGCAAGGGAGTGTACACATGTCCCCGACCTTCAACAAAGCAAGGGAGTGTACACATGTCCCCGACCTTCCACAAAGCAAGGGAGTGTACACATGTCCCCGACCTTCCACAAAGCAAGGGAGTGTACACATGTCCCCGACCTTCCATAAAGCAATGGAGTGTACACATGTCCCCGACCTTCCATAAAGCAATGGAGTGTACACATATCCTCGACCATCCACAAAGCAAAGGATTGTACACGTCCCCGACCTTCCACAAAGCAATGGAGTGTACACATGTCCCCGACCTTCCATAAAGCAATGGAGTGTACACATATCCCCGACCATCCAAAAAGCAAGGGAGTGTACACATGTCCCCGACCTTCCACAAAGCAATGGAGTGTACACGTCCCCGACCTTCAATAAAGCAATGGAGTACACGTCCCCGACCTTCCATAAAAGCAAGGAAATGACACATATCCTTCCACTAATAAGGACATGAATTATTGATACAGAAACATGCCATATAAAGCTTGAAATCAAAATTCATTATGTAAAACCAAATAGCTGATTTCACGAATACAATGCACGTATAGATATTAAATCTGCCTTCGTGACTCCAAATTCCTCCCTTTGAGTGTTATCGGAAGTCGTCCAGCGGCAACACATTATGAATCGTCAAAGTGTTAAGTACAAAACAAGACGGGTTAGACTCCTTGTTGGGGTCACATCTAAAATGATGCAGATAAAGGTGAGTATAGTTTATATACATTAAGATCTTTATATATAGCTCCTACTATTGTGTCTAATATCGTTAAGTTATGACGAAAAGTTTCTACTTCTAAAGTTAATTGTTTAACGGTTCAAGTTTTGTTCTTTTCTGTGAAATGATGTTCATCCAATCTTATGTTTAACTAATGTTTATTGGTACATTTTGTACAAGTTTTCGTTTTAATTTGACATACAAATCTTATAGTGTTATATCTAATGAGTACAACATGCTTAGTGTGGTTGAGGGCCAGTCATGATGACTGTCCACAAGTCAACAAATAACATTCAGAATCTGAAACGTATATTTTTGAATATAAATTAATTCAAAAGCTAGCCAAACGAGGCAATAGTTATATACCTTAAACTTTTTGTATTATTACAGTATCTAATTCAAGACAGGAATGCATATCTAAAAGTAAACAATAGTTCTAATGTTAATATCATTTGGAACAGTTTTTGTGTATTTTACGTTTTATATATAACTTTTAGCAAGAAGGTGATACACTTCCGCCTGAAGAAATGATAACTAATGTTATCATGGTTTATGTGTGTATAAAATGTCAAGAATAGAACTAATCACATCAGATGATCACGTGATTAATCAGTGATATCATTATACATGTGTAAGAATCTGTTACTTGTGGTTAAAATATAGTGGTACACATGTGTAAGTATCTGTAGCTGTTGTTGCTGTGGTATAGTGGTACACATGTGTAAGTATCTGTAGCTGTTGTTGCTGTGGTATAGTGGTACACATGTGTTAGTATCTGTAGCTGTTGTTGCTGTGATATAGTGGTACACATGTGTAAGTATCTGTAGCTGTTGTTGCTGTGGTATAGTGGTACACATGTGTAAGTATCTGTAGCTGTTGTTGCTGTGGTATAGTGGTACACATGTGTAAGTATCTGTAGCTGTTGTTGCTGTGGTATAGTGGTACACATGTGTAAGTATCTGTAGCTGTTGTTGCTGTGGTATAGTGGTATAATTGACACTATTTATGCCAATTGTGATGAAGATACAGATATTCTTTAAATTCGTTTGCTTACTTGGACTTTTTTGTAAACTTTTGGCTATTTGTGTTCGGTAAATAGTTCAATTTTTTATTGATTTTGGTGCCACATTCATACCGTGTGTCACTTTCTGAGATTGTACGTATGTATTAAAATGTTTTTATTAAGTTATCGTTTGTATTTAGTGAATGCTGTGTGTTCTAGCTTGTCCTCAGCGGTAAGTCTGCAGTATGGATAACAGTCCACATAACATATATCTTACTGCTAGCAGCCGGAAGTTGTGGCGATGAAGAGCAGAGTAAGACCGGAAGTACGTTATCAGATGTGTAAGTTTATTCATGGACGACACACATTACATGATATTTAAACAAGAAGAAAGGTTCGATAATAATTGATGTAGTCAGACCATGTTTAAACACACAAAATTTGGATAAAAAATATTTCAATTCGCCAACATGGTTGAACACTATTTATAATTTATTTTACACGTACACACACGCGCACGCACGCACGCACACACACATACATACGCACACACACACGCACACACAAATAACCACATGTAATACAAATATCTTAATTATGGTCGTCTATATCTGATATTTCGTCTATTCGTTTTGTTGCCCGTGAAAAGGCGAAGTAACGAAAAGACGAAAACCCGTCAAAGCGAAATAACGAAAAGACGCCAAACTGGGGTAAAAAAAGGTTCCATTTTAACATAACGGTATCTTTTTCACCTCGGCGTCTTTTGACGATTTCGTTTTGCGGGTTTTAGTCGTTTAGTTATTTCGTCTTTTCATTATTTCGTCTTTTGGTTATTTCACTTTGCCGGGCTTCGTCTTTCCGATTTTTGGCTTTGGAGGTATTTTGTCTTTTTCGTTTTTTGGCTACTTTTCTTATTTTCGTTATTTCGTCTTTTCGTCCGATGTTTTTACGCGGACAGCAAAACGAAAAGACGAAATGTACGATATAATTCACCATATGCAATATATGTTATTGTATGTACGACAGTTCATGGAGAAACCAGAATGCGATGTTCTCAGTGGTAGAAGAAGCCTGTTCTCTAAGTGAGCTCTTCTTTTATTCTACGGTGTTGCCCAGTAGCTTCTGTAATAATGGTAAAAAACGAATGTAAGTATTGTCACCTACGGTGTCCTGGCTGATGTTTCGTAAACGTACACCGTAAACAAGATATCGCTAATTGTGAAAAGTAAACTAGAAAGTATATTTACACAATTTTTGTCAAATAATATCAATGCGATTTTTTTTCTTATAGCGAGTTTTTGTTGGGAAAACATTTCACTGGATTTAAATCAATGAAATAGTTTTACCATTTTACAACTCGATATAATAGTACCATTAGGAATGAAAATGGTCCGCTTTGCTTAATTTTGTTCTTAGTAAATCACATTTACAAATTAGCCATAAATATATGTGTGTGTGTGTGTGTGTGTGCGCGCGCGCGCGTGCGTGCGTTCGTGCGTGCGTGCGTGTGTGTGAGGGTGTGTGTGTGTATGTGTGTATGTGCATTAATTAATTTCAATTTCGCAGATACAAACTACGAAAAAACACACCAACTGTAAAGTGCAAAGCAGGATATCGGCTTCGTGGAGGTTCATGCATCAAAGGTAACCGCCATTTATTCTAGATTTGACAGGTCTGGTTAGTACAAGCGAGCTGGTAACTTGGTTTTGTTTTGTATGGGACACGTCTGGTTAGTACAAACGACCTGGTAACTGGGTTTGTGTTGTATGTGACAGGTCTGGTTAGTACAAACGACCTGGTAACTGGGTTTGTGTTGTATGTGACAGGTCTGGTTAGTACAAACGACCTGGTAACTGGGTTTGTGTTGTATGTGATAGGTCTGGTCAATACAAACGACCTGGTAACTGGTTTTGTTTTGTATGTGATAGGTCTGGTTAGGGGGGGGGGTGTTGTTGGGTTAAAGTCAGGATAGATAAAATTGAAATTCTTGCTTTTCTTTTGTCTGAAACACTTTATTAACTTTTCATTTGCCGAATTTTGTTTGTAACACTGTATAAATTGACCACTAGGCTGATTGATCGTATGACGACATGTTATCATGCTGTTGATTCGAACGCTCCAGATTTGAACTTTAACCTTATGTAACTGTACCCGAGAATGGTGACGATGTATTGAAACGTGTGCTTTACGAACCATCCTTAATCAGCATAATAACCTCTTTTGTAGAATGTGGCCTGACAAAAAACTCCGGAAATGACAATTTTAACAATACAAAGAAAATGAGAACAACACTTGAAGTATACACAAACGTGAGTATTACAAACACAACTGAGGAAGGTGGAGCTGAGACTAAGAAGACTGGACTGGATGTAACAACTGATGTAAATAGTACAGAGATTGATAAAACGGACATCAATGGCACAAAAACATCTACAGAAATCGGTACTGATTTTGGAAAAACGGATGTAAATGTTACAAATACTACAGCGGACGCAATCGGTAACGAAGGTAAGGCGTGAAAAGATTAGGGCGTCGAACAGAAACTGTTAAACATATGAGGAACGCACGAATATGCAAATCTTCAAATAGCATATTTAATAAGGTAAATAAGCTTAACGAAATCTAATGGTATTTGCTCTGACGTCATTTCCAAAGATTTTGTCGGTAATCTTTTAATATCAAGACTGAAAAATATACAACAATGTATATTTCCTGTGTAAATGTTTATTATTATCTTAAAGAATGTAACGCCGGCTGTTATGGTGATTTGTGCCAGTTTAACTGTTTGTGTGAAAACAATGCTACTTGTGACAAGATGACCGGGCAATGCACGTGCAGCAAAGGCTGGACCGGCGTCTATTGCCAAGACGGTAACAAATATTCATATATTTCATAAATGAAAACTATAGTTTAATATACATTGAACAACGTATAATAAAATTAGGAATATTTGGTTTTATTCAGAGGTTTTCTAGTTCGCGAATTATTACGTCAGGGGTGACGAAAACATCGAATCAAAGAGATTGTGAAAATCTTTTGAAATTCACTTCAGTATAAGTTTTTATAGACTATCAATATACCACCTGCATTGTTAAAACCAGATTATGTACTACAGATCAAAACGCAACACGTTGACATAAAACTTATTAAGTTTATTTTTAGTAGTTCAAAACCTTTCTTGAGTTAATCGATGCTTACATATTTGACACGAGTCATATGATTGACGAAGACAATGAAAGGAGGGTTCTGCTGTCTGTACATGCTTTTTCTTCGATAGAATGTCCTAGAGGAACTTACGGCGCTAATTGTAGTCAAACGTGTAGATGTGACGTCACTTCCTGTCATCCTGTAGACGGTTGTATCTGCCGGTCAGTAGGACAAAACTGTTATACAGGTATGTATAACGGAACGGAATCATTAAAAATGTCCTAAGAAACAACATGTAAATGTCTATGGATACAAAAAGAATAAGCACCGCGGCGTTTTCATTGGCTTACAGTTTGACTTATATCAAGATCTCGAGATGTTGATTTCTGTATTTTAACTACATACTACCGAGATCTTTATTTAACTCAAAGGTGCCACTTATAATCAACAATATCTACTTTAATTACAGTCATAATAATTGTATACACTAAGCTACCGCTTGGTAATAGCCAGTATTTCCACACACAGAAAGTACCTAGTAGACTTTGGGAAAGATTTAATTCATAAATAAAAGCCACTTGTAGGTATCGTTCACAAACACGCATCCCTGTGTACTACAACTTATTTCATTCCAGTGTGTCCACCGCTGACGTTTGGTTCTGATTGTAGCGGTAAGTGTTTGTGTCTTGAAATAGCGACACAGGACTGTGGTGTCCTAGACGGCTCCTGTACCTGTAAACCAGGATGGACAGGGACTTTCTGTAACCAATGTAAGTTGTAAGATGTAAATAGATATATATGACCATATTTGTACTATCCTATGTTCCCTGTTGATATTTGTAGTATCCTTTGTTCCCTGTTAATATTTGTACTATCCTATGTTCCCTGTTGATATTTGTAGTATCCTATGTTCCCTGTTGATATTTGTTGTATCCTATGTTCCCTGTTGATATTTGTAGTATCCTATGTTCCCTGTTGATATTTGTTGTATCCTTTGTTCCCTGTTAATATTTGTACTATCCTATGTTCCCTGTTGATATTTGTAGTATCCTATGTTCCCTGTTGATATTTGTAGTATCCTATGTTCCCTGTTGATATTTGTTGTATCCTGTGTTCCCTGTTGATATTTGTTGTATCCTTTGTTCCCTGTTGATATTTGTTGTATCCTGTGTTCCCTGTTGATATTTGTTGTATCCTTTGTTCCCTGTTGATATTTGTTGTATCCTTTGTACCCTGTTGATATTTGTTGTATCCTGTGTTCCCTGTTGATATTTGTTGTATCCTTTGTTTTATGTTGATATTTGTTGTATCCTGAGTTTCCTGTTGATATTTGTTGTATCCTTTGTTCTCTGTTGATATTTGTTGTATCCTTTTTTTCTCTGTTGATATTTGTTGTATCCTTTGTTCCCTGTTGATATTTGTTGTTTCCTGTGTTCCCTGTTGATATTTGTTGTATCCTGTGTTCTCTGTTGATATTTGTTGTATCCTGTGTTCCCTGTTGATATTTGTTGTATCCTATGTTCCCTGTTGATATTTGTTGTATCCTTTGTTCCCTGTATCCTGTGTTCCCTGTTGATATTTGTTGTATCCTATGTTCCCTGTTGATATTTGTTGTACCCTTTGTTCTCTGTTGATATTTGTTGTATACTTTGTTCCCTGTTGATATTTGTTGTATCCTTTGTTCCCTAAGGATATTTGTTGAATCCTTTTTTCTCTGTTGATATTTGTTGTATCCTTTGTTTTATGTTGATATTTGTTGTATCCTGAGTTTCCTGTTGATATTTGTTGTATCCTGTGTTCCCTGACCATATTTGTTGTATCCTTTGTTCCCTGTATCCTGTGTTCCCTGTTGATATTTGTTGTATCCTTTGTTCTCTGTTGATATTTGTTGTATCCTGTGTTCCTTGCTGATATTTGTTTTATCCTTTGTTCCCTGTTGATATTTGTTGTATCCTTTGTTCCCTGTTGATATTTGTTGTATCCTTTGTTCCCTGTTGATATTTGTTGTATCCTGTGTTCTCTGTTGATATTTGTTGTATCCTATGTTCCCTGTTGATATTTGTTGTATCCTATGTTCCCTGTTGATATTTGTTGTATCCTATGTTCCCTGTTGATATTTGTTGTATCCTTTTTTCCCTGTTGATATTTGTTGTATCCTGTGTTCCCTGACCATATTTGTTGTATCCTTTGTTCCCTGTATCCTGTGTTCTCTGTTGATATTTGTTGTATCCTATGTTCCTTGTTGATATTTGTTGTATCCTTTGTTCCCTGTTGATATTTGTTGTATTCTATGTTCCCTGTTGATAATTGTTGTATCCTATGTTCCCTGTTGATATTTGTTGTATCCTTTGTTCCCTGTTGATATCTGTTGTATTCTATGTTCCCTGTTGATAATTGTTGTATCCTATGTTCCCTGTTGATATTTGTTGTATCCTTTGTTCCCTGCCGATATCTGTTGTATTCTATGTTCCCTGTTGATACTTGTTGTATCCTATGTTCCCTGTTGATACTTGTTGTATCCTTTGTTCCCTGTTGATATTTGTTGTATCCTTTGCTCCCTGTTGATATTTGTTGTATCCTATGTTCCCTGTTGATGTTTGTTGTATCCTTTGTTCCCTGTATCCTGTGTTCTCTGTTGATATTTGTTGTATCCTTTGTTCCCTGTATCCTTTGTTCCCTGTTGATATTTGTTGTATCCTATGTTCCCTGTTGATATTTGTTGTATCCTTTGTTCCCTGTATCCTGTGTTCTCTGTTGATATTTGTTGTATCCTTTGTTCCCTGTATCCTATGTTCCCTGTTGATATTTGTTGTATCCTTTGTTCCCTGTATCCTTTATTCCCTGTATCCTTTGTTCCCTGTTTACACTAAGCTGTTTTTTTTAGCAATGCACATTTTGTTAGTATAATAAGATATATTTTAACTTTCTAATCTTATATCGTTCCTTACTCAAAATACTGAACACTTTTACATTTATCAAGTATGCCCTGTGGGAAGTTTTGGAGATGGATGTCAGCAAACTTGTGAATGCAAATCTAACGAATACTGTACCCCGACTACTGGGACGTGTCTGTGTTGGGATATTGTAAACGGATTAATCTGCACCGAAGGTATAATGGTTACGTTTTTAAGTGCAAACTATCACTACGGAAATACCCTTTTGATGTCATTAACAACAGACTTTGAAATATGTCCTTTTCTAATTAACGGCAAATAATTGCCTAGATATGTCCATCAAATAACAGGGACTTTTGGTACAAAAATTTACATAAACTTTAAAAGTTTGAATTAGACACAGACATTTATATCGCCGTGTCCCCTGTTTATCTTCTTGCAAAATTTAAGAAACCTGTTGTGTAAACATAATAGATTTGGATATGAAACCTTTCCATTCTGGTGCCACTTGTTCTATCGACAAAGTATTGTATGTATGTGTATCTACCCAGTATTGTCGCTGTGTGTTATATCTACACAGTATTTCTCCATGTGTTATATCTACCCAGTATTGTCGCTATGTGTTATATCTACCCAGTATTGTCTCTGTGTGTTATATCTACACAGTATTGTCTCTGTGTGTTATATCTACCCAGTATTGTCTCCATGTGTTATATCTACCCAGTATTGTCGCTGTGTGTTATATCTACCCAGTATTGTCTTTGTGTGTTATATCTACCACATATTGTCTCTGTGTGTTATATCTACCCAGTATTGTCTTTGTGTGTTATATCTACCCAGTATTGTCTCCGTGTGTTATATCTACCCAGTATTGTCTCCGTGTGTTATATCTACCCAGCATTGTCGCTGTGTGTTATATCTACCCAGTATTGTCGCTGTGTGTTATATCTACACAGTATTGTCTCCATGTGTTATATCTACACAGTATTGTCTCCGTGTGTTATATCTACCCAGTATTGTCTCTGTGTGTTATATCTACCCAGTATTGTCTCTGTGTGTTATATCTACCCAGTATTGTCTCTTTGTGTTATATCTACCCAGTATTGTCTCCGTGTGTTATATCTACCCAGTATTGTCTTTGTGTGTTATATCTACCCAGTATTGTCTCCATGTGTTATATCTACCCAGTATTGTCTCTGTGTGTTATATCTACCCAGTATTGTCTCTTTGTGTTATATCTACCCAGTATTGTCTCCGTGTGTTATATCTACCCAGTATTGTCTCTTTGTGTTATATCTACCCAGTATTGTCTCCGTGTGTTATATCTACCCAGTATTGTCTTTGTGTGTTATATCTACCCAGTATTGTATTTGTGTGTAATATCTACCACGTATTGTCTCCGTGTGTTATATCTACCCAGTATTGTATTTGTGTGTAATATCTACCACGTATTGTCTCTGTGTGTTATATCTACCCAGTATTGTCTTTGTGTGTTATATCTACACAGTATTGTCTCCATGTGTTATATCTACCCAGTATTGTCTCTGTGTGTTATATCTACCCAGTATTGTCTCTTTGTGTTATATCTACCCAGTATTGTCTCCGTGTGTTATATCTACCCAGTATTGTCTTTGTGTGTTATATCTACACAGTATTGTCTCCGTGTGTTATATCTACACAGTATTGTCTCCGTGTGTTATATCTACCAAGTATTGTCTTTGTGTGTTATATCTACCCAGTATTGTCTCTGTGTGTTATATCTACCCAGTATTGTCTCTGTGTGTTATATCTACCCAGTATTGTCTCTGTGTGTTATATCTACACAGTATTGTCTCTGTGTGTTATATCTACCCAGTATTGTCTCCGTGTGTTATATCTACACAGTATTGTCTCTGTGTGTTATATCTACCCGGTATTGTCTTTGTGTGTTATATCTACCCAGTATTGTCGCTATGTGTTATATCTACCCAGTATTGTCTCTGTGTGTTATATCTACCCAGTATTGTCTCCGTGCGTTATATCTACCCAGTATTGTCTTTGTGTGTTATATCTACCCAGTATTGTCGCTATGTGTTATATCTACCACGTATTGTCTCTGTGCGTTAGATCTACCCAGTATTGTCTCCGTGTGTTATATCTACCCAGTATTGTCTCCGTGTGTTATATCTACCCAGTATTGTCTCTGTGTGTTACATCTACCCAGTATTGTCTCCATGTGTTATATCTACCAAGTATTGTCTTTGTGTGTTATATCTACCCAGTATTGTCGCTATGTGTTATATCTACCCAGTATTGTCTCTGTGTGTTATATCAACCCAGTATTGTCTCCGTGTGTTATATCTACCCAGTATTGTCTCCGTGTGTTATATCTACCCAGTATTGTCTCTGTGTGTTATATCTACACAGTATTGTCGCCGTGTGTTATATCTACCCAGTATTGTCTCCGTGTGTTATATCTACCCAGTATTGTCGCTGTGCGTCACTTTGATCTTTTGTTGTTGCCATGGTTGACGGTTTTTTTATCATCAAACAGTTTAAATTTGTTTTCGAGCTGTACTGATGATACATACAGTACAATATTTTCAAATTACAGAAAACTCTACAACTACGGCTGTCCCCATCAATGCTGGTCATCCAGCAACGTTTCCAGTCAATGCCTTACATATTGGGATTCTAGTGGGCGGTTGTCTACTCATCCTCATCGCAATAGTGTGTACAGTCGTGGCCTGGCGGAGAAACAGGTCTTACGGGTAAGGTTAAACCTTCAGATATACTATCACAATTCTCTGCCTGATAACAATTGTCAGTGTATTACATGGCAAAGAAAATCTACCGAATCTGTCGGATATAGACGAAACACTCAAAAGCTTGAACAGTCTTTCTGGAATAAAGATGAAATCATTCAGAAATTAAGAAATGAAAAAGATGATTTTCCATTACAGCGGAATATATCTCTTCTTATTAAATCATTACACAACACAAAAACTCTTGTTATGGTATAACCTTTTAGGACGATGTCCACTACATTATGTACTTGTGATATATTTGTGTTGATGTCCCCGCTGATGGGAAATTATCTGTGGCTGTTTTCATGTCAGCGAATTATCTAATTAGGGGAACAAATATATATAAATGATTGATATTGTTAGATCGGATATAACAACGATTCAGGAAAAGTTGTTTGGCCTCGTTCTTGTTGTACTCCCCGACCTTTTCAATTGTTAATTTGTTTCCGTTTTGTATAGGTTTTTATAAGAGCGTATTTTTACAAGTCTCGTTTAAAAAAGAATCGCATGGAAAGGAAATCTGGAAATGTGCACTTTAATTTGTCAAAAGTAAATTTTCATCTTCACAGCATGGATCAATACGATTTTAGCTCTAAAGACTCCACTCTGAAGATTGGTAAGTATGAGTCATCCCAACCTGGAAACTCCAGGGATTACGATCACTTTCGCTGATTGGCAAAAAGGTCAACAGACTGTACGAGTTGTCTCCCTTCATTTGGATAACCGTTCAAGAAAATTTCACAGAATGTTTTACATTACTTCCTTGTTGAATTGCATCATATCTATGTATGTTTTGCTAAGTATAAAACATAAAAGTATTCAATTCGGCAGCAATTATGATCAAACCTCGTATTTCCCATACATTCAAAATAGAGATTTATTTCTAATGGGTGATATTATCACATGTGGAGTAGCATTAATTATCATCAGCATTGAAGAGGAGTCATTAGAATCGTCAATTGAAACTCAATGCAGCACTATGACCGTAAAATGACCGTCAACAAATTTCTTATTCGCGTATAAATACCGGAAAACTTTCCCGATACATTGAAATAAGATCTCGAATTCATAACGCGTTGAGTTTAGTCCCCTAAAATAACGTTTCGTTTACGGAACAGTCAGAAATTAACGTGATTATCGATCTTTGTCATCTCACGAAAAATACTCTAAACTTTCTTGACACTGTTTTTGGACAAATTCTTTTAAATTCATAAAGAAGAAAAAAGTTTTTTTAATATCCTGGTTCTCCCTTGGCATTGAAATGGCCAAGACTGTGAGCTTGAAGACTTGGTGAATGCCTTTTTGTACTTATATAAGGGTCTTCCTTATCTAACAAATACATGTGTATACTTACTCGGTTGTTTTCAGTGCATGCGGACGAACAACAAAGGGAAGACCTGACTCGAAATCAAGAAGAACCTGAGGCAGTCAGGAAAATGTCCTGTAAAAGTCTTAAGAAATCTCGTAAAGGCATTAAACCGTTAGATGTCCTGAATCTACCGTCTAGAATTAAATCGAAACCCCCAACAGCAATCATTGGCTTCCAGCAGTACAGTCCAACAGAATCACTCAACTTCGATGAACTTTCCAGACATTCCTACGTCAACCTGAAGGACGAAGAGATATCTAGACACGTGAAAGAAGACAGCGAGGACTATGAACGTCTTAATAAAGATGAAATCAATCCACCGTTGCAAGACTACGAGGTGTGCGTCAAGACTAAGGGGCCATATGAGAATGTTCCAGCTAAGAAAAGGAGCATTTTAGGATCGCTAAGGAAGCTCGTTAGAAAAGAAAGTCACCCTGAAGGTGACAAAGCACATCTCGCAGACGACACAGGAACAGGGATAAATAGGACAAGTTTCGTAACATTTAACAAACAATATACTTGACAATTTCTCCCTACTTATCCAGTTAAAAGTCCCTCGCCTATCACATACGTATACATGACATTCTCTAGTGTAAACAAATATATTGGTAACTATCAGAAGTGAAACAAATAAAATCATAGATTTTATAATAATATTTTTTGAAAACGGGAGTTGCAGTAATATATTTATAAAAGTGAAAAAATCGATTTCAAAATCAATATTAAGATTATATATGAAAACATCTACATATTATATAAAAGGCCCTAGCGACCCTTTGTTATCAAATTTTGATCCTAGTAATTTTTATCTTGTTTGCGACTATGTTTACTATATCTCGACCTTAGAAGTGTTTGTCTTAATTGCGAGCTTTTGTTATTAAACCTCGATCCTTGACGTGTTTGTGTTGTTTGCGACCATTTTTACCAAATCTCGATCCTCGAAGTGTTTGTCTTGATTCCGAGCGTTAGTCATCAAATCCCGATTGCCGAAGTGTTTATCTTGTATGAGATCTTTTGTTATTAAATCTCGATAGTCGAAGTTTTGTGTTGATTGCGAGCTTTCGTCATCAAATCTCGGTCCGTGGAGTGTTTTCTTGTTTGCAACATTTACTTACCAAATCTCGATCCTCGCAGTGTTTGTCAAGATTGCGAACTTTTGTCATCAAATTCCAATTGTCAAAGTGTTTATCTTGTAGGACATCTTTTGTTATCAAATTTCAAACTTCGAAATGTTTCTCTTGTTTTTTTAACCATATATCAATCCTCAGTGTTGTACTTGATTACGATATCTTGTAATTAAATCTCGATCGTTTGGAGTTTTTATTCATCTTCGTTGTGACTTTTTTGTCGAAGTTTTTTTTATCTTGTATGAGACCCTTTTTTAACCAAATCTCGATCCTCGAAAATTCTTTTCTTGTTTGTGCGACTGTTTGATATCAAATCCCGATAGTCAAAGTGTTTATCTTTTTGCGAGGTGTTGTTATCAAATCTTGATCCTCGAATTGCTTGTCTTGTTTACAACTTTTGTTTTCAAATTTCGATCATCGAAGTGCTTGTCTTGTTTGCGACCCTTTGTTATAAAATCTCGATCATCAAAGTGTTTGTTTTGTTTCCGACCTTTTGTGATTAAATCTCGATCCTTGAAGTGCTTGTCTTGTTTGATATAATCTGAAACACATTTCTTGCTTAAGTATTTCAAATAATGAGATATATAACTGGCATTCAGAAAAATATGTTTGTAAACCACAAGTATCATCGTCTGCAGGGTAGGGTATGACGGCCGCACATGTGCTGCAGTATCGACATGTTGTATTAGGCGCGTTCGTTTCCAAAACAAACCATTACTATGCAACTTTACCCATTACTTATCTACAAGACAATAAGGAAAATAATGTAACCTATATTTGTCAGTATGTATATTTATACAGAGAGTTTGTAAACAGTAGTCACTGCATAACAACTACATTATCTACATATATGTGTAGTATACTGTGATTCATATATCAGTATAATAAATTATCTTTCTGTGATAAAAAAAAAAAAAAAAAATGGTGTTCGCTTACTTTTTTTTGGTCTTGATCTTAATCGATAATTAACATGTATAGTCGAACAATTAATACGCCATAATTACGTTGCATTACTCTCACTGTCTTCTGGTCATCCTTCTGGGTAGTTGTGGATCTTGTCCATTTTTATAAATTCTATATAATTCTAAACACTCGTCCATTTTTATATATTCAACATACTTCTGAACACCCGTCCATTTTTGTGTCGCCTGCAGAGCTGGCGGACACTTAGGAATCACTTTTTCCGTCGTCACGCGTCGTCGGCGGCGGCGTCGTGGTACGTACGAAAGTTTTCCTGACTTTTTTCGGTAATGCTTTGAGTTATCATAAAGGAATTTGGCATATGGCTTTTTGTTGCATGGGTGCAGATTAAGTTGGCTTCCTGGCTGTCTGTGACCTTTCTTGGCTGAGTTATGCCCCTTTGAACTTAGAAAAGTCTTTGGGTATATTGTTTTCTGGAATTTTCTTGGTTATGCTTCGAGTTATGAAAATACAATTTTGTATATGAGTTCTTGGTGAAAAGTTAAGCACCGAGTTCGCTTCTTGGCAGTCTGTAACCCTTTTGGTAGTGATATGCCCCTTTGAACTTGGAACATTTCTCAGGAATATTGCTTTGCGGAGTTTCCCTTTATGCTTCAAATTATAGAAATGAAATTTCGTATTACAACTTTATGGTTGATCGTTGCACATCCAGTTCAATTTCTGGGTGACCGTGACACTTTATGCAGGCGACACATATAGTTGCGAGGAACTCTTGTAATATATACAACATACTTCTTAACACTCTACCATTTTTATATAATCTTCAAACTTCTAAACATTTATTTTTTCCTGTGTAAACAGATATAGCGTGTGACCAGTCTTTATATCACAGATAGATACTTTATTTACATATTTGTAACATTGTTTATACTGCAATTTGCAAGTCTTTGTCATGTAAGCTTGCTAGAACGGCTTTCTTGAATTTTGATAACTGCCTATTGATCTAGAATGTATCTACACGGCTTTGATTATAATCCAGTTATTGGGAGGCCAAAATGTAAATCTTCATTGATAAATCGTTTTATAGTAATATGTAACGGTGTAAATGAAAATTGATAATTTTTTTAAAAAAAGTAAGCCTCAAAATTTGGACATGTGTGCTATTATTTCAATGTTCATAAACAGCTTTGCTCCATGTTTAGCTTTAATGCAAAATATGTACATGTATATAAAATTATAAATACCAGTTAATTTGATCATTCAGCAAGTTATCTGAAATAATACTTTAGATGCTGATCAGGTTTAGTTTTTATCCACATATTGGATATATAGAAAAACCGTGATCAGTGTCTTCACAATATAACCCGTATTGTGACGAGCCTCTAGCGATCAGTCTATTATCCCGCAATATTCACTGAAAATGAAAGGACCTTGTCACTACTACAAATAAAGGCACATTGTTTCCGCAAATACAGTTCTTGTCTCACTAGGTACTACTTAAAGTGTCTTTGCCTTCTTAACATTCACTAGTTATTCCTATTTGAGTCATGTTGCTGTTTAAGACCGTTCCTCTCTCATCAGCGGTGTCTTGTTTTCACTGAGAGATTGACTTCACAACCCGTATTTATTTGATACATTGTACAAAAATACACGTGACACAGTCAATGCTCAGTCTATAACATCAAAGGTGATAGTGTGATATGGTGCCGTTTTCAACAACATGTTTTCTGTAACATTCCATCTCTCTACCGGTGCACGGAACGAACTGGGATTTCAATTACTGCAAAGATTTGCTGCAATCAGATGCAATATTAATAATTCTTCTTGGTTTCCACATTCCAAAGATAATAGAAAATTTCTTGTCTTTGTAAACTTGTCTTGACCTGTAAAAATGAATGATACAAATATAAATTTGTCAATGTGACATTCACTTTGTCTGACTGACATTTACTTTATCTGACTGACATTTACTTTATCTGACTGACATTGACTTTATCTGACTGACACTCACTTTATCTGACTGACATTTACTTTATCTGACATTCACTTTATCTGACTGACATTTACTTTATCTGACTGACACTCACTTTATCTGACTGACATTTACTTTATCTGACTGACATTCACTTTGTCTGACTGACATGTACTTTATCTGGCTGACATTTACTTTATCTGACTGACATTCACTTTGTGTTACTGACATTTACTTTATCTGACTGATATTTACTTTGTGTGACTGACATCCACTTTATCTGACTGACATTCACTTTGTGTGACTGACATCCACTTTATCTGACTGACATTGACTTTATCTGACTGACATTGACTTTATCTGACTGACATTGACTTTATCTGACTGACATTGACTTTATCTGACTGACATTCACTTTGTGTGACTGACATCACTTTATCTGACTGACATTTACTTTATCTGACTGACATTGACTTTATCTGACTGACATTGACTTTATCTGACTGAAATTGACTTTATCTGACTGACATTGATTTTATCTGACTGACATTGACTTTATCTGACTGACATTGACTTTGTCTGACTGACATTGACTTTATCTGACTGACATGTACTTTATCTGACTGACATTCACTTTATCTGACTGACATTTACTTTATCTGACTGACATTCACTTTGTCTGACTGAAATTTACTTAGTTTGTCTACACTGGAGTAGGTATTGTGTTTGTCTACACTGGAGTAGGTATTGTGTTTGTCTACACTGGAGTAGGTATTGTGTTTGTCTACACTGGAGTAGATATTGTGTTTGTCTACACTGGAGTAGGTATTGTGTTTGTCTACACTGGAGTAGATATTGTGTTTGTCTACACTGGAGTAGGTATTGTGTTTGTCTACACTGGAGTAGGTATTGTGTTTATCTACGCTGACGTGTTGATTGTGTTTGTCTAAACAGGGATAGGTATCTTAATTGAAGTATTAAATGTGTTTGTTTCAAGTGATGTTGGCACATAATGTTTATTTCAGCCGGAATAAATTTCACGTAATCCCCAATAAAATGAGGAACATTAGAACGATTGTATATACCAGTTCCTAAGTCTATCTCATTACGTTATCTTTAATGCTGCTTTAGATAAGTGTTTGCCGGAACTCCGGGGTCCTTCCAAAACAGCACCATCCTCCCACCAGAGTACTAACAACGACAACACACACACACACACACACACACACACACACACACACACATCTCCCCCTCCGAGTACTAACAACAGCACACACACATATATCTCCCCTCCGAGTACTTACAACAACACACACACACACACACATCTACCTTCTCCGAGTAATAACAACAACACACACACACACACACACACACACACACACACACACACACACACACACCCACACACGCACATACATCCCCAACCCCCCAAAACCCGAGTACTAACAGTGGATGTGAAAATGTTTATTTTAATATCTTAAACAACTAGAATTCCAATGTCCTTTTTTATTTTTTAATGATTAACGAGTGGAATAATTAATTTACATATGTATGTCTGTTAAGGGACAATGTGTGATACATCTGAGGTTAAATTTATTTAGTATGTCGGTACAACATCAGTTCTTGTGTCTACGTCAGCAGGTATCTAACATCATGAATATATTTAACTCCAATGCACTACAAATTAGAAATCAATACACATATATATTGTATCTATGTTATTCAAGGACACTGTTTTGAATTAGATTAGTAATATAATACCTGCTCCGAAATTCATTTCATACCTGAATGGATGAAATTGTTTTCTCAGATATTCATATTTCACACTTGAAATGGCATTTGTAACTTAATACATAAATCACTTTGAATTGTATTATTTTTGATCATTTAGCTTTAAGCCATTCGAACGCTAAGATAAATATTTTTATTGAAAGAAAGGGTCGGTCAGAGCTTAAGTCGTTTTAAGTAGTTGTGAAGGTCGACGATACGCTTCAAAGTGTAATGTTTGTCTCTGTACAATGTATTTATCTAGAAGTTCAAAATAGTTTCTGACAAAACAAAATTTACACACTTTCATCAGCGATAGTATCTATAAGTATCTGTAGCCATTTATATTAACAATAAGGCGACAGATTCCCGAGATACACAGTGCAGGTTTGAGGGCACAAACTGGCCTCGTATGATACTACAATTATGTGTGTTATATGAGTCTGGTTTGCCAGGCAAAGAGACAGTTCATGCATGACTTTAGGAAAGCTCTAATTTTGTATGTTTAAAGTATTTCATTACAAGTAATTTACCAGGTGTATGTATGTCTACTTGGACGGAGTTGTAGTTGAAGTAGGACGGAGAACAGCATGTACCCTGTCTCCTGTAGGGCACGAATCCCGGTATGTTTATCCCTTTATTGTCACAGACGGTCGTTCGTTCGGAGATCTACAATACCTACACTGACAATTTAGGTCAAACACGTGTGTCTTCTTTCTTTCGGTATATCAACGAAAACAGAAACAACTAGTGATCTATTTTTAAATCGCAGAAATTAAACAATATGTGTTGTAAAAGGCCAGTAGGCCAACATATGTTACCATAGCGGGACTAGTATAGAGCAGACTCATTCAT